TGTGGGCTTTGTTGCTTCTGAGCTAGATGGCTACTTGTTTACCTTCAAGCCTTTAAGACCCCAGATGCTATACCTTTTGATAGCTGAGCACCATCAGCTTTCTTTGCCACATTTGCTTATGCACCCAATTGGAAGACTCCATTTCTGATAAGGTGTCAGCTTGAGCCCACGCCACGGAAGATTCCTCTGTGTGCCTGTGTCCTGATAGGGCATCCTTTATGATGACAGGTGAACTCAAGTGAGTGAAAAAACACATAGCAAGAGTTTGAGAAATGGTCTTTGGTAAAGCCAGGCTCCTCTAATTCATAAGCACTTGAATGTACCATGTTTGCGCTAGAAGGATGTGAAGATGAACAAGTGAAATAATCTAGATCAGGGATGCTCAATATGTTGATCGCAATCTACTAGTCGATTGCAAATGTAGTGTGGGTAGATCGCATGGCACTTAAAACATAGACATAAGCCTATCATCAATCCCGTCACTTAACTGATACACAGCGCAGCCAATCCGATGCAATCTTAGCTGTCAAATGCATGCACAACCAACTGCGCTAAGTGCAGCAACACTGACAAGTTATCGCCAATTTTTAGAGCTTGGTTCTTTTCTCTTAAACGTAAGAAAGGGTATTAAAATGAGTGGGGGAGCTGGACCAAGTCAGAAAACAAAGACGTATCACTTTCATACGGAATGGGAGATTTTGACACTACAAGCCGACATTCATTCAGCTGAAGTCCAGAGGCAGGAACAGTTCTGGAACTTACTCGCAGAGGGAAAGTTCCTGAACACGAGAAAATGTGCTACCTCCTTGACTGCATTATTCGGCTCTACTTGTGAGTCAGCCTTTTCCCACATAAAGATCATGAAGTCCAAGTGCCGTTCCACCATGACTGATGCTCATTTGGAAGTGTGCTTGAGGCTGGCTGTCAGCAGCTACTGTCTGGACTATGCATCCCTGGCTCATTCCATTCCGTGCAAGTCGTCAGAGTAAACTCAGGGAATGACAAAATTTGTGTTGTGTTGTGCAATATGGACTCGTGGTTATGCAAGGTACATAGACATACATTGTACGTATAAAGGATTCTCAATGCATTTATGAATAAATGTAATTAAATATATGTTTTGCATTTTTGTAGTTGGTAGATCATTTTGACTTGATCATTTTATAAGTAGCTCGCATGCTGAAAAAGTGTGAGCACCCCTGCACTAGAGTCTAGTGGGGGAGACACCTAGACACCCCGTGAGGACAAAGAAAGGAGCTGTCCTGGATTGGGACCAGAAAAGAAAATAGGTGAGCTTGATCTTAAAGAAAGTGACTCTATTCGAACTCTTCTTCACTGCATAGCAGGTGTAGTTAGGTTAAAATGTAAATCTTACCATTCAATCTTCCTTTTGACCCATTTTAAATGTGTTCTACTTTCTAATATTTTCTGCTTGTTTTATTGAGGGTTTTCTCTGTTTTTCTTTGTTACGGATGTTAGGTTTTGTTCGTGTGTTTGGTATGTTTTTCTGCACATGCAATTGAAACAACACTCCACAACCAGAGAAGCAAAAACAAATCCTACATAGGGAGGAGATCTAATTTTCAGGGTTATTACAATATTCAAAATGTCTTTTTTTTTAGCAATAATTATGACATGCAAATAAAGACATGGTCCATTCATGGGGAAAAACTAATAGAAACTATACCTAGGAAGCTACATTAAAATTGCTGGTTGAAAACTTTAAACCAATGGTCCCATAAAGAATTATAGCCTCGGACCTTCCCTAAATAAAGTAGGTCATTATAAAGTGGATTTTGTGGGGGTTTTTTGTACTAAGGATGCACAAGAGATAGAGATGGACAGAGAGCTGAAGGAAAAGTGTCACCAAATGGAGAATGTCAATACAGAGATAGAATTTATATAAAGGAACCAGTTGAAATTCTGGAATTAAAAAGTACAGCAATTAAAAAATTTACAGGGACTGAGGGGCAAAAGCAAATGTAAGCAGTCAAGAGAAAGAACTTGGAGACAGGCCAATAAAGTCTGAGGAAGTAAAAGAAATAAGAACAGAGCTCAAGAGACCTTGGGAACAATCTAAATTTCCATCAGCTGGATTAAAAATCTCTGGTATATACATAAAATGGAGTACTGTGCAGCCTTAAAAAACAGCAATGAACACATGAAGCATATTGTCTCAGGGGAAGAGTTGGAGGAAATTGTGCCAAGCAAGGTGAGCCAAGCACAAAGGGCAAGTACAACATGAGTCCACTGAGGTAAGCGCAAAAGAAATACATGGGCATAGAAGATAAGCTACTTAGTGCATCAATCCTGGGTCAAGGTCTAGGCACTCTGGCAGGGGTCTGACCCAACCCAGGGATGCATTTGGCAGCCAACTAGAAAAGAGGGGGAAAGAGAAAGAGAGAGAGAGAGAGAGAAAGAAATAACACACAAAAAGTGAGAGTGATGGGGGAACAGGGCAATACACTCATAGGGAGGGTATTGTTTATGTCTCCACAGGAAAGGGAGAGGAACCAGATTCCATCCCAGAGTGCCAAGCCTTGAGGGCAACACACTGGCATGGAGCAGCGAACTAATAGAGAGGGTGACTGGGCTGGGCCTCAAGCTGAGCTATGTTGACCCCCTCCCCAGAAGAATGTAATACAGAGGACAGCTCTAAAGATATAGCCCGGGAGAGCGGTGGTCAGTCCAGACCACATGGGTTCAAACTAAGAGGGAGAGAGAGAGAGAAAACCTAATGATGGCCCACCAAGCCCCAGGGACAACATCCCTGCTCAGAGCAGCCAGTGCACAGAGAGGACCGTAGGGCTGGCCCCAAACATGAGACATGATGTTCCCTCACTGACCCATAGCACTATGGGGGACAGCACTGGAGACACTGTGCGGACTGTGTGCCCGGTCTGCCCCACGCACAGCAGGGTGAAACGCGAAAGGGAGTGCAGCAGGGCAGCAAGAGGAGCAAAGTAACCAGGTCCCCGGGGAATCCTGAACATAGACTTCTGACTCAGGGACAGGGCTTGGCACCTCATCAGACCTAATTGGAAGACACACATCATTCCTCTAGTTCCTGAATGCTTCCTCCCCCTACTACCATGACCCAGTTCTACCTTACAAATCCAGCTAGCCCAGAGTACGCACATTGGTACAGATAAGAGCCCTCAGCACGTGGAATTCAGGACAGATAAAACCCTCAGGAACAGGAGTAGCGATATCATGATGGTAGGGGGATGGGGGTGGGGGGTGGAGAAAAGGGGAACCCATCACAACAAGGTATTCAACCCCCAAGGGGATGAATAACAAAGGTGGGTGAAGGGAGACAATGGACAGTATAAGGCCTGAAATAGCAATAATAATATATAATTGACCAAGGATTCATAAAGGTGGGAGGGTAGGGAGGGAGGAGAAAAAGGGGAGCAGATACCAAGGGCTCAAGTAGAAAGAAAATGCTTTGGAAATGCTGATGGCCACATATGTACAAGTGCTCTTAATATAATTGAATGACGGATTATCATAGATTGGTAAGAGCCCCTCAATAAAATGATTAATAAAAAATAAAAATAAATGAGCCAGGACTCCTTCATGGTTCTGAGGCACTTCAGAAAATGAAATGGACCCAGAGATCCCGGCACCCTCAAAAAAGACAGAAACAGATCCAGTCACCCTGCTGTGATGGGGACAATTTCATGACCTGGCCTGTTCCCAACCCCTGGGAAGAACGATGAGGCTGCCCCATAAAGATTACAGTCTCAGAAACCCTGGCAGGTCACTGCGAGTTGCAATCAACTCAATGGCAGTGGGATTTTGGGTTTTCAAAAACCATTTTGTTGGGAGCTATCATATCAATCCATAGTTCAATCCCATCAAGCAGTATTGCACCATTGCGACCACAATCGTTTCAAAGCATTCTCTTCCTTCTTGAACTCCTTAACATGAGCTCCCTTTTACCGCCCACACTTCCCGTGGCCCCCCCCCAACTGTACCCTCAGAAACCCTTCTTCTTCTTGCTTTCCATATTGGTTCAACAATTCTGGGGTTCACATACTGCAAAACAAACATATAACACCATTTTGAGGGTCACCCCCAATGACAAAACACATCTGAGATTTTAGGAACAATAGGAGCAAACAAAATACAGAAAATGTTGAACACCAGATAAGGCGTAACGTGCCTCAGAGGGGGATCGATCAGCTGACAAGGATTTCACCGTTCGAGTAAGGTTTATCATTTTGACCTGTAGTCGTCTCTCCAATGCACTCTGTTTGGTAACCAGTGTCTTCCCGTGCCTCTGTGATGGACAGAGGGAAATCATGGGAGGAGGCTTATTTCCTGTGTAGATCCCACAAATGTACCTTGGGCTCCCACTGTCATCCACAGCCTTCCGCAAACCGGATTCTCCCAGGGTAGGCTCTGATTATTCCCTCCTCTGGCTCTGGGTTAGATGATTTACAAGCCTCCAGTCATGAATGTTGGTGCGCTTCTTTCACGTGGATTTAGTTGACATCCCTCTTAGATGGCTGCTTGTTTGGAACAAGCCGTTAAGACCCCAGACACTATTTTTCCTGATAGCCAGGTACCATCTAATTTCTTCATCACACTTTGCTAGAGCACGCATATCTTCTGTGTTCCCTTCCTGAGGGTGAGGATAGAGCAGGGCCATGAGGTAAGAACTAATTGTTCTTAAATTGGAGTTAGGATTTAGTGGGAGCTCAAAACCCATTCTTGGATCTATGCCTTTGGCTCCTTTCCCAAACCCTCTTGTTAATGGATGGTAGAGAGTCTTATCGAGCATCCCCTTGGGGCATAAAGGTCTTCCTTTAATGTTGTCTTTGATTAGCCCCTGGTACTACTTTTTAAAAATTCCTGTTGAGAGGAGGCTATTGGGCCAATGTAGGCTAACTCCGTATCGCAGTGTCTAAATGATTCACTTGTCCAGAATCAGTCCTTTCATGGCTGGATGCTGTTTACACAAACAATGGGAGTTGGTAGTCAGGGGAACTTTACAGCAATATTCACTGTGAACGTCAGCCACAGGTGTAAGATCAATAATATTGATCTTAAAACCGCTGAGAGGGCATGGACGTAGCAAGACCATGATTGTCCTCCTACCCACTGTTCAACCACCTCGGTACGGCTGTCTTTCACTTCCTCAGGCATCATGCACGTCCAGTCCTAAGTCTCCAGGTGACAAGCGAGTTGGAGGTCCAGTTTGCCCAGTGGCTTTCCCACATCGGATCTCTCTGAAGCATGACAGCACCGCGCATCTGGCCCTTCACACTTGTCCAGGGAGATGGTTCCTGAGTAGGGGTGCCTTTCTCTTAGACAACATTGGGGTGTGAGGTGGATGGCCGCTCAGCTGCAGAGGCCCCATCTTCCCTGCCCTGGGGTGTGGTCTTGACCGGGGGTGGGGGTACGGGGGGAAGTTAGGGGTGGTGGGGGAGGGGGGCGCAGTGGAAGCTCAGGGGTGGCCAGGGTTCACGGGTGCTATTTCCCTCTCTGTGTCCTCTGCTGCCGCCCCCCTCCTGCTCAGCTCCTCAGTGCTCACGGGCTTTCCCTGCTCCAGGATTTGATCTCCGAGGGGCTGGTGTCCCTCGGAGAGCCAGGGGAGGAGCAGAAGAGAGCTTGATCAACCTGACCTTCTGCAGCCGGGTCCTGTGGATCCGTGCACAACAGTCTTTCGGTCGATGACACCTTTCCAGCAATCACGTGGACGCCAGCTGGCAGAAGGCCAGGGGAGTGGGCAGTGGTGGAGAGGGTTGGTCTGCCCTCTCCCTGCAGTCTCCTGTGAGTAGTGTGTTATGATTTCGCTCCCCCTCCTTTTGTCAAGTCCTGGATGTTCGGGGTCAATGGTTACATCATCCCTCCGAGGTTACAGAGTAACCTGGCTCTGCAGGCGGATGTGCCCACTGTCAGGTGGCTCACTCATTAACACCTTGGCCGACTGAGCGTCCTGGTTAGACTCCCAGTTCTCCGCAAAACCACCGACACGGTGGTGGTGGAGGCCTGGCTAGGGACACAGAATGAAGTAATGAGTGACTACCAAGCAGGAGGGAGCCGTGCACCCACGGTCCCCATGACATGCAAATGGGCTCCAAGCCAACACGGTCACCAACAGAGGATTTGAGCTCCCGTTGTGTCGGGTGTCTTCAGCTCAGCCCCTTCGTTTGCTGCATGGCTGACACCTGTCCTCCCTCCCCTTCTCGCCCCCATTCCCTTGACTGTACTGTGAAATGACAGGTCACTGCAATCATGAAACGCAGTGGGATGCCAGAAAGCTCCACACCGGCCTGGGCCCTTGGGAGGTGCTTAACAAGCATGGTTCCTGCCAGGTCCCGGGCCGGCCATGGGGAGCAAAATGGGTTGACACGGTGGTTGTGACCATGGCTTCACATGTAAGAACCGTGGTGCGGACGGAGCAGCGCCATGCAGCGTGCCATTCCACCCAGTGGCCCCCCACTGCCACAGAGCAGGAAGGCAGGCATCTGGGGGGCAGGCTTTCCTTGTTCTATCCACGGGGAATTTCAGGGACCAGGACCGTTAGGGCCAGAAGGGACCCTTAATGCCGGCGTTCCTGGCTGCGGGGAGAACAAGACGCACCTCGAGGCAAGATGTCAGCCCAGGCCTTGGCACTGCCTGTAAGAATTACATTGCAGCCACGCTTGGGCCACTCCGCCCCGTTCTATCCAGAACACTCTGGATCTAAACTTGGCTTTGTTTTCCCTCTGCTGTGTTTCGGGGATTCCCTTTCCCTCCCTCCCCTCCTCCACAGTCTGGGAGTCGCTCCTCTCCTAAGAGGGGACAGGGAAATAGTTGCCCTTTGAAGCTGGGCGCTGCACGCAGCCCCGTCCTGGGCTGAGATGCCACGGTCCGCTCGGTTTAATGATCAATGAGCTCCTTCTGGAAAGCCCGTGATCACCAAGCTAGCCCCGTAATCTCTCTCCAGAGCCAGAGCCTGCGGGATGGCCACCCACAACTCGACCGGAGACCCCCATGCCGCTCAGCCACAGCTGGATGCCACCGACATTAGTGTCATCGCCTTGTACTTTGCCCTGAACATGGCTGTGGGCATATGGGTAAGGACCCCTGTGGTGGATGGGCTTGGGCAGCGCGGAGCGGGGTCATGGGAACCCAGGTGTGCCCTAGGGCTTGACGCCTGGTAGCTGCTCCTCCCAGACCAGCCCCTCCTTCTTCGGGCAGTAGTTACTCAGCCAAATAGGTTGATGGAGCACTGGGGCCCCTTGAAGGAGCAAGATGCCTGCGGTGGGAAGCTTACTGCCAGGTTGGCCGCCTGGACCGGGGTCTGACAGCCTGGCCCGGGGTCTGGTTCTGTTGCCTACAAGCTAGAAAGCCTGGGCACCCACACTGGACTAACTCGCCGGTCTGTTTCCACACCTGCCAACTGGGGATCAATGTGGTGACCTCTAAAACCACGGGGCTTGCTTTTAAAAACGCAGGTTCCCAGGATGCCCAGTAAGTCTGCTGAGTCAGAATTCAAGGGGTGGGGAAGGGCCCGTGGGAACAGGCTTCTTCACACCGAATCTCAGGAGATCTGTGCCCTCATGGGCTGAGTTCATAAGCGAAGGCTTTTCTCTGAGGGGGGAGCACCTGGGGCCCCATCAGTGACTTTCAGCAAGGGATTTGAGGCCCTGCTCAGGCCCTTACCCGGGACCCTTTCTTGACACCCCTCCCTGCCCCCCCGCCCCTGTGAGAAGAAGGCAAGCTCCTGTTTGAGGATGAAGAGGCTCAGCTCCAAGCTGCAGGCTTCTTGCCCACTGACCCCAGGATCTGACAGGGTGGGAGGCTCCTCTGGGGGCGCCCCTGCTCTCCGTTTATGCTGCCGACCTCTGGGACTTTCTTCACAAGGAGCCCGCCACACCGAGGTCACTCACTTGATCCTGCCCTTTACCTGTTCTGCACACCCTTAGCATGTGTGGAGAGGTCAGGCTCCTCCCTGCCATCCTCCCACCCCCACCAGCCTTCTGATTGGCATATACTGAGATCTTTATCCACCTGGAGTCCCCCACACTTACCCTCTGCAGCCTCAGCCCTAAGCCTGAGAGTCTGGGGCTCCAGAGGTAGTCAGATTCCAACGCGGGACGTTTAGGCAAGCCACTGAGATTTTGAGCTTCTAGGTCTTGATCTGTAAGAGGGAGACATGCCTTCTTCGTGGAGGTTAGGCTTCCTATCAAAGCCATGCAGCAGCACTGGGCTCGGCTGCTTTCAGGAGGGTTACGCCGGCAAGGGCAGTCGTAGCACTACTAGCAGTAGCAGCTACAGAAGCAGAAGTCGCAGAAGTCCTGCTAGGAGCAGTGCCAGAACTAGTAGCAGCAGTAGTTGTAATAGTAGGAGTTGTCGTGGAAGTTATAGTAGCAGTCGCAGCAGTGACAGTAGTAGCAGCAGTAACAACTAGCATTAGCAGCAAGGCAGCAGCAGCAATACTATTAGGAGCAGCAGCAATGGGAGAAGTAGCAGAAGTTCTAGCAGTTCTAATCTAGTCTGGGTACATTAGAGTAACAAATCCACAGAAACTCGTATGT